AGGTACATGCTTGTAATCTCAGTGTTCAGGAGACAGAGACAGGAGAATCTCTGAGGCTCATGGCCGACAGCCTCACCGACTTGGCAGGCCTCAGATCCCATTGAGAAACCCTGTTTCAGAAAACAAGGAGGATACTGGGTGGTGTGGTACACAAGTGGTAACAGCAGAGTTCACTACAGCTATCTTAGTTCTTGGTAGCATAGTGAGTTCCCAGCCAGCCTGATACCGAGTTCCAGGCCAGCAGGTGTATAGTGAGACCCTATCTCTAAAAAACCAACAAACCAAACAAACCCCAAGTTGGGGTCGACGAGATGGCTCCACATTAAGGTGCCTGCCGCCAAGCCTTATGACCTGAGTTTGCTCTCCAGGACCCACATGATGGAAGGAGAGAACCTACTACTGCAAGTTGTCTTCTTCTGACTGCCGCACAAGGACTTGGCATGCGTGTGTGCGTGCACACACACATATATACACACACGTTATAAAACAGATTTTAAAAATCATAAAGTTGGGGGCTGGAGAGATGACTCAGTGGTTAAGAACACTGGCTGCACTTACAGAGGACCTCGGTTGGATTCCCAGTACAGCTGTCTGCAACTCCAGTTCCAGGGGATTCAATGCCTTCTGACCTCCGAGGGCTTTGCACACCACAGGTGCACTTACATGCAGGCAGTGAACTCACACATAAAACAGTTTTTAAAATCATAACTTTGTAGTTAATAAGGTTAGACTTGCTCTGAGAAAAACTTATGGTTAATTATGTCACAGTGGCCTATCTACACAATGCATTGAGAATGATATGCATCTAGTTAAATCCATAAATGTGACTGCCAGTAGCCATTTCAATAATGAAAAGCCTAGTTTATATGGTGCTGGAGGTCAAGCCTAGGGCACAATACCCACTGAGCTACAATCAAGTCCGACCTTTGAGCTTTTTGATATTTAGAACTCTTCTTACTCATCTCAGCCTCTCCAAGATCTAGCACATTCATGTTACATGTTATTGTATGTAACGCTGCTGTCAGGAAGTTTTTAATTATATTGAGCAGAGATCTAAATCTTTTGGGTGGGTGGAATGCAGGGGTTGAGACCAAGTCTTCCTGTGACTGGTCTGGTACTCAATATGCAGACCAAACTGGCCTCAAACTCAAAAGCAATCCTCTTGCCTCAGCCTCCCAAATGTTGGGAGGCTGTCAGATTACAGATGTGTGCTGTCTTCTGACTTCTAACAGTAAACTCTGATGTGCTTTTTGGTACCATACATAGTAATATTTTCTCTATCTGAAAGCAGTTCCTGGATCTCGTCCATTGTCCTCCAAGATGAACATCCACACTTGTTTCTGTTGTCCTCCTTCTTACAGTATTGTGTACCACCAGGTTATAGTTCAAACACATTCCAGTTTAGTTATATTCCTCTTAAAAGACTCTTCTTAGATCTGCAGTAGCGTTCCAGGTATGGTGGTGTACAAAGTTGGGTGAAATGATTAACATGCGTCCTGAATTGAGTTACAATTGAGTGTGTTCTACATGGGGGTTCAAAGCTCTATTGTGTCTGATGTCAAAAATAATTTGATGTGTAAGGGAGGGATTTTGCAGCTGCCTGACCCCAGTTTAATCTTTTTTTGTTTAAGTCAAAGCACAAATGTGTTTTTCAGGCACCCCGAACCTCCTCATTGTAGCACATGACCTGGTAAAGAGCACAGGTGGATTTTGCTCTTGCAGAAGCCATCTTTTTCATTCTTGGTTCAGTTGTCATAATCACCATAGGCAGTTTCCTAAAGGCGGTGATAATGAACTTTGCTTTTAGTCGTAAGGCAGTCACTGAATGTGTGCTAGGTTCAGGGCTTTGAGGAGAGGTTACAAAGATAATCACATGGTCCCTACCTTAGAGGCATTCCGTGGAGGTGCCTCCAGCCTTGGTGTATGAGACTAGAATGGGTACGTCTCCCCACCGCCCCCCCCATACCAGTCTAACTTGTGAGTCTGAAGAACTAGGTAGGATGATCTTCCACCGTGAGGACCTGGACTGGCACACTCGTGACTAGGGCTCGAGTTGGAACCCTGGTCTCACTGCTTGCTTGCTGTGTGGCTGTAAACACTGAGTACAAATAATAGGTGCAAGAGACTTAGGTCAGCGTTTGTGTCAAGGAAACACTGTTGAGTGTTAACAACTATAATGAATATATGAATTAAAGAACTGTAGTGTCGCCACTGCTATTGTGAGGGTATTCGTCCTAGACAGACTCAGGGGAATGTTTTAGTTCTTTTGAAGGTCTTTCAGTGTAGAAGAATGATTTTTTCTTTGTGAGTCCAAACTATGTATCTAGAACTTTCATGCAGCCAATAGTCCAAGTAGACTTTGAATTCATAATCTTCTGCTTCAGGCTCCTGAGTGCTTTAGTTACAAGGTGTGTGTGGTGCCTGGCTGAAACTTTCAGGAAGAAGTGAATCCCGAGTCATTAGCAGTGATTCTAAATGACTGGCCACTGCTTGTGTTTTTTTCTTGGTTTCACCAAGTTCCTATTTTACATCTTTAAGTCTGCAGCAGAATTGGTATAAACCTGTATGACCTAGTGTTAAAGCAATAGAGGTGTGACTACAGGCTCAGAAAACATAAGGCAGAGAGAAAACCAGAGTCAAAAGGTTCTGCTTATGTGTGCTCCGTATTAGAGATTCTGCTGTCTTGACAAACACTGTCCAACCCTGGGAAGGATGGCTTGTTGTGCTGTGGTCTTGGTACATAGAACGGCTTAACAGAAGCTGCTGTAAGGTAGAATTACTCTGGCTGGGATTCAGAGGGCTGGTCTCACTGCACTGTAATAGAGTTGGTACTTCCTGTACTTTTCAGGTCCTCAGACTCAGGACTTTTCCTGTGTGGTCACTCTTACCAGTTCCTGACTTTGCTGAGGAGGTCTGTCGGCCTCCTCTCCGTACTCTTAGATTCTGCCCTTGGTAATTCATGTCTCAGTTTTCCGAAAGCACACTCCAGTGAGACTGCCTTTTCCTTGCGGTCATCGAGCAGACACTCAAAACAGTTTCAACTTCAGGCATTGTCTCTCTCTCTCTCTCTCTCTCTCTCTCTCTCTCTCTCTCTTGCTTATTAACTTATCTGTATAGTTTGAATGCTTAAGATCTCTCAGTTGGGGGATGGAGAGATGGCTCAGCGGTTAAGAACACTGGTTGATCTTGCCGAAGACCAAGGTTAGAATCCCAGCACCACATGGCAGCTAACAACTGTCCAACTCCAGTACCAGGGACTCCAACGGCCACTAATGAGCTCCGCGGGCATTGCACAACACGGGTGCACTTGTCTACACGCAGGCAATACACACATACAAATAAAATAAAAATAATAATTTTTTTTTAAATCTCCCAGTTGAATTTTTAAAATCTTTATTATGGAAATATTCACACATACACAAAATAAAGAGTACAATGAACCCTCGTGTACCTGTCCAGTTAGTAGCAGTTTGCCAATCTTCTTCCATTAGTTTCCCTTTTCCTTCCTCTTTAAAAATATTTTTATCGATTTCAGAATTCCATACAATGTATTTTGACCTTTTTAAAAAATCTTTCTTTACAAATTACATGTGACTGAGTATTCTTTAGTCCAGTTAGCATTCAGATGCACACTCCTACCGTCTACACTCACAGTCACTGTATGACTGAGTATTCTTTAGTCCAGTTAGCAGTCAGATGCACACTCACTCCTACCGTCTACACTCACAGCCACTATGTGACTGAGTATTCTTTAGTCCAGTTAGCATTCAGATGCACACTCCTACCGTCTACACTCACAGCCACTATATGACTGAGTATTCTTTAGTCCAGTTAGCATTCAGATACACACTCACTCCTACCGTCTACACTCACAGCCACTATATGACTGAGTATTCTTTAGTCCAGTTAGCATTCAGATACACACTCACTCCTACCGTCTACACTCACAGCCACTGTATGACTGAGTATTCTTTAGTCCAGTTAGCATTCAGATACACACTCACTGCTACCGTCTACACTCACAGCCACTATGTGACTGAGTATTCTTTAGTCCAGTTAGCATTCAGATGCACACTCACTCCTACCGTCTACACTCACAGCCACTATGTGACTGAGTATCCTTTAGTCCAGTTAGCATTCAGATGCACACTCACTCCTACCCTCTACACTCACAGCCACTATATGGAGAAGACCATATTGTGAACATACACTTATTTAGTTATTTATTTATTTTTGTCTTTTTGAGACAGAGTCTCCCTGCAGCCTCAGCTGGCCTGGAACTCGCTATATTGACCAGACTGGTCTTAAATTCACAAAGATCCTCCTGCCTTTGCCCCCCAAGTGTTAGGATGAAGGGTGTGCGCCACCATGCCCAGCTTGTGAACACACTCTTTTTAAGTCCTCTTACGAACAGTTTCAAATAAATTATTACTCTTTTATATTTCAGTTTATGTTTGTGAGTGTGCTGCCTACATGCATGTAAGTACACCTATGTCATGTAATGGCCATGGAGGTCAGAAGGTCAGTGAAACTGGAGTTACAGACAATCTTAGCCATGATGTGAGTGCTGATAACCAAACCCAGGTGGACTGCAAGAGCAGCCAGTGCGCTTCACCATCGAGCCATCTCTCCAGCCCACATTATCACTTTTAGATGGAACACTGTTATGATTTGTTTTGGTTTGGAATGTGCATCTCACATCCTGTGACTGTCAGGTGTCAGTCAGGGTTTCTGATTCTGTAGTGTGACACATCACTTCAGTTCCCTTGGATTATATGGTCTGAACTCAGCTCTGAGCATTTGGTAATTGAAAGTTTAATGTAGGCTTGAATTAAAATTTGACAATTTTGCATTTTTTGTGAAATCCAAACATTTTATTTTTACATGAAGAAACCTAAGCGATTCTCAGGAGGATGTGAATTTCTCTTTTGTCACCTGCAGGAAAACTTCTTGTAGAATGAGAGTTGAGCATGGGTTGATGTGTAAAATATCTGCTTTTTCCTAGAAAGCCCCCTTTTCATCTGACCAGAAGACGCTGGAGTGAGTTTCCTGTCAGAGTTCAAGTTCACTTTAAGGACAGCCAGAACAAGCGGATAGATATCATACATAATCTGAAGGTACTGTCACAAAGCGTTGCTACCCAGAAATGCAGTGTCTTCTTCATCGCCTGTTTCAAGTGCAGATGTTCACTCTTCTGAGGACAGTGGCCAAGGATGGTGAAGCAGGGTGATCTTTTAAGCATATGATGCTTACCACTGCAACTGCTCTCTCCTCGTGTTAGAGAGAGTTACTTCACAGCAGAGTGTATATTCTTTAAAAAGATGAACTAGCCAGGCATGGTGGTGCATGCCTTTAATCCAGCACTCCAGAGACAGAGGCAGAGACAGAGGCAGGCAGATCTCTGTGAGATAGAGGCCAGCCTGGTCTACATAGTGAGTTCAGGCCAGCTGGGACTATGGGGAGACCATGTCTCAAAAAATAAAGTTTGGACTGGAGAGATGGCTCAGTGGCTAAGTGACTGCTCTTACAAGAGACCCAGGTTTGGTTCCCAGGACCCACATCGTGGCTAACAACCATCTGTAACCCCAGTTCCAGGGGGATCTGATACCCTCTTCTGGTATTGTATGGCACAGGTGCACTTACATACATGTAGGCAGTATATTCATACACATAAAAAATTAATAAATAATAAATAAAAATAAGTAAAATAATAAGTAAAATACTTTTTAAATGAACTAACCATAAGTAATCAAAAGACTTCAACTTTATCAAATCAAGGCATTTATGTGTTATGTGAGACTAAGTTATTGTAATCTTTTTGTAAAAACATTTGCTTTTCTATTAAGCGAAACAAGTGTTTTGAAGTCTTGAATCCAATCCCTAACAGTACAGATATCATCATCAACAACAACAAACAAAACACATACATAAAGATTAGCAAAGTAAACATGTTAGGCAATAATAAAGTATCATATAAAGTTGCAATAGTTTTTAATTATGTAGTTAGAAATCCTTTACTGGTATACTCGTGTTGTTTATTGTACAGCCATTATTAATCATATTTTATTAAATATTTTCTAGACATGGAGAAAAGCTACCATTATAGTGTGTGAAAAGCAGAGCGTAACAGCATGCGAGCAGGTGGCTGTGTAGCCCAGTGGTATTGCTCTTGCCTAGCCGTGAATTCAGTGAGTGAGGAGACACTGGATTCCATCCCCAGCACCACTTACAGAAACAGTAAAATACAGAACCGTAGAGCTAGGGTGTAACTCAGTAGTAGAGCTCTTGCCTGGCCCTGGGCTCAGTTCTCAGCAGCACATACACAGAAGATAAAATTAAAACGTGATAGGTCAACCATGACTTCTTAAAGGTAGGGGAAAAAACAAAAGAAATAACACCAGAACGTTGGTGTGACTACATAATGACAGTGTATGAAGTTTTCCCTGCCCTTTTTTCGGTTTTCTGTTTGTTTTTGCTTTTAAACATTTTTTTTTGTAATTTTATATAATAAATGTATATAACTTTTATCATTGAAAAACAACCCTTTTTTTGCCCAAGATATGCTTTACCGTGTGGCCATCATGGACCATGTTTTAATGTTCCATCGGCATTCTTTATGGTTTATATGCATTTTCTGAATATGTAATATGACTTAATTATAATAGTGTACTTTTCTCCAGTCATCCTTCCTTTGTGGTGTCGCCTTTTGTTCCACCAATGGCTCCCAAAATTGATCTAAATAGAATTGAGTACATCTGTAGAATTCCTTTTTTCATTACCTTTATTCTATAAAAATCTACCTCTTTCAGCCCTGAGGCATGCTGAAATTTCCACTCAATTGGTGATAGATAGTACTACTCAGTTCTAATGTTTGAATTATTTTCTAGTATTACTCCTGACCTCAGAGAATAGCATACAGGTATATTTTTGAAGGGAAGGACACACCCACTGACCGTTACTGTTAGAGGAAGCTCTAAAACAGTTTGTTTTCTTTAGGTCACTGCATATGCCACCTCATGCTGCACTGGGCACTTTATTCATGAATGAAAGGGCTTCTTCACATAGTTCTTACATGTTACATTTTTACTGTCACCTAGCGTTCTCAATAGAAGATTGAGACGTGGGGTTTTGCTGTTGTTTGTTTTACGAAACAAGATCTCACTAGGTAGCCCTGGTTTCCTGGAATTTACCATGTAGAGCAGGCTGGCCTTGACCTTACCTACCTTGGCCCCCTAAGTGCTGAGATCTTTATATTTACTAGAGTGCTGGGATTAATGTTATGTGCGACCATGTCCATCCCAGAGACATAATATTTTTGGGTTTTTTGTTTGTGTGTTTGTTTTGGTCCTTTTGAGACAAGGTCTCCTTGTAGCCCCAGCTGGCCTACTCACTATGTAGACCAGGCTGGCCTTGAACTCACAGAGATCTGCCTGCCTCTGCCTCCCGAGTGCTGGGATTAAAGGCGTGCACCACCACACCCAGCTTCATTGTCTTCTTTAATCCCCTTTTTCCTCAGTTCGTTCTAAATACCACCATTATTTTAGTCTACTTAAAAACTACAGTGCTGTAACTATGCAGTTGAAGTCTTGCTCTTCAAACACCAAGCCTCTGGGGCCTGCTCATCGGGTTTTTTCCTGCTTTGCCTCAATGTATTTCTTCTACATTGTATTTGACTAATCTTCGTGAGCACCACTCTGGCCATGTCAGCTGTTTGTATTTAGAAATGTCTTCCCTTTATACTCTTCCCCTCTTTAGTGCTTATTTGAATTCTTGCTTTCCAAGTTCCTATACAATTTATCCTGCGATTTAAGCCTACAGTGATCTCTATTCTGAAATTCTGTAGTAATAGGGATATATTTGAGAATATAAGTACTACACTAAATAATTCTGATATTATTACATGAAATTTAAAGTTCCAAGAATGTATAAATGACAAGAGTCAGTCTCTTCTTAGCTGTTACCATGGAGCATGGAACGTCCCAAGACCCATTTAATAAACTTTTAGAATTGTTTTCATAACTTACCTAAAACTGCTGGAAGGGAGGAAGGAAGGAAGGAAGGAAGGAAGGAAGGAAGGAAGGAA